CTATCTATCTATCTATCTATCATCTATCATCTATCTATCTATCTATCATTTATCATCTATCTATCTATCTATTATCTATCTATCAATCATCTATCTATCATCTATCTATATATCATCTATCTATCTATCTATCTATCTATCTATCTATCATCTATCTTTCATCTATCTACCTATCACCTATCATTTATCTAGCTAAGAATTATCTATCATCTATTCTTGTCATCTATCTACCATCTATCTTTAACTTTCTTTAAATCAGTGTAAACCAATGATTTCCCACTTTATTGTGCATACAAACCATGTACTTTCTTTTGTCCTATGAGGCCCTGTGACTTAGCCCTTGTTCTTTGTTCATGTCTCTAATTAATTTTCTGTGCTATCCTACTTGTTTACAACGATCCACGCACAGTACGCCTGTTCATATCTTAAATATGTCTTTCATATTCCTTCTTCAGACCATATTCACAAGTCTCTTTCCCCACCTATTTGGAATAGTCCACACCCAGACCTTCGTATGTGTAGAACTTTCTCATTAGTTAGATCTCCACTTAAATACCATTATTTCAAAGTTCCTTCCTCAGAGCCCATTCTGTCATGCAGTCTCTGATGAATTATTCTGTTTGAGTATTTACAACACTCACTATTCAGAATTACATATTTAAAAAGTAACAGTTGTTATTTGACTTTTTATTCTACATTATAAGCTTCATAAAGGAAGGGCTGTTGAGTTAGTCACTTATTTATATCCCTAGTACCTTGAATAGCTCCTGGAACAGAGTTAACTATTTTCCCTCATAGGATTAAAAAAAAATTTTGTTCAGAGAGCAATATCCACTAATATCTTTGAAGTGAAACAAAACAAAACAAAACAAAACAAAACAAAAAACTGTGTAGCCGGGCATGGTGGTGCATTCCTTTAATCCCAGCGCAGGCAGATCTCTGTAAGATCAAGGCCAGTCTGGTTTGCATAGTAAGTTCCAGGGGATCTAGGTATATAGAGAGTCCCCGTCTTAAAAAAAAAAAAGTGATTTAATTGTTTTACATTTTCTCATTTTTACAATAGTAATAATGATAGAATCAGCTTCATCCAAATTACTGTTAGGATATTGCCCAGAGTAATGCACAGAAAATGTTAATCTATGCTATGCATAGATTATATGTTCAAGGAGAGCAAAATGAAAAAAAATGAAAAAAAGGAAGGTCAAAGTTGTCAATTTTTAAATAGGATGCTTTTGAGGCCTCTCATGTCTTATTTATTGTTCTAGTTCTATGTTTTTAGGGAAGAACTAGAAACTATTTTAAGAAATATCAGAGAGTGGAAAATTCAAGGGAGTTTGAGCTGCCTCTTCTCTTTTTACTTGTATGAAGAAATTCAGGCCCAAAGAGAGCAGGAAGATCAGGAAACAGAGCACATTAAAACTCCTGCATCGATTTGCCATATGGTTAAGTGTGTGCTGCTAGTGGAATCCCCCAAGTGTATACAGTTTAGTCTACTCTCAGCAGGCAATTAGCCATATTATAAGCGGCAAACCTGAATGGGAGACAAAATGATGGTGCATTTGTTAGTTTAAAACTAATGTTTGGCTTTTTTTCTAGTACACATGACTTAAGTTTATCTAAAATTGTAGACAAGCCTTTCTACCAACAAAATAATCTTCAGTTGTTTACAAATAATTGCAATTTGGGTTCCATTGGATTCATCCGTGAAGACAAACAGGAAAGGAAAGAACTGAAATTCTTAAAACTTTGCAACATAAACAACTGACCAAAGATGGGCTGCAGACAATTACAGCCAGGTGCTTCCCGGCTCTCTCATTCTATTTCTCTTCTTTTCCTGGACATAGATCAGAGTAAAATTAATCAAGTTAGCAGGAACTTTTCTTGTTTAAATATTATTTAAAGCCAGGATGGAAAAGTCATACAAAATGCGTTCCTTATGTCACGGCATAAACAAAGAGTGTCCAAGCTCTAGTCATCACTTCAGTGATCTGTAACAACCCCGGGGGAGAGCAGGACAGGGTGAGTAGGGAAAGTATGGTTTTATGATATGGAGTAAGATGCCCACTATATACTTAACCTTAGCATCTATAGAGTCAAGAAAATGCAAACAGTATGTCATAGATTCTCTTCATAATTACCTGTTATTCTATTAACCAGAAAATCTGAAACCTTTAACTTATCATATTGTCAGGAGAGCTATGTCTAATCTTAGATTTCTTCTCTTGCTTTGTATGGATTTTGCTAGTTCCATTCCTGGCCTTGACTATTGTGATAGGTTGTTAGGGAAAGTGTGTAGTGCAGTCAGAAGCCAGGGATTTGATCCCATCACAGTCACTTCCTCAATAGATTCCTATGTAAGCCACATTTCCTTCACTAAATGGGACCCACCTGACAACTTCATTATGCTGACACAAAGATTAAATGAGTTAAAAAATGAACAGTGTTTGAAAGGGCTTCCAGCACAGAGAAAGCATTGTGTGTATTTTAGTGGTTATCCTTTTTCCCAGCAGAAGACTTGATTCTATTTTATCTGCATTCCTTCAGATTTCACCTTTATTAAGCAGTGTTTTCAACAGTATTGGTAAACAGGTTGTTCTCAGCATCGCCTTCTGCCAACTTTCTCTGCTAATTGCTTATTGCTCAAGAGATAGTTTCTGTAATGAACACTGCACATTTTTCTGTCCAACAGCCATTTTGCTTTATCTGTAAGAGAGTATTTTTGGTGTGTGTGTGTGTGTGTGTGTGTGTGTGTGTGTGTGTGCGTGTGTGTGCATGTGTGTGTGTGCGCGTAGGTCAGAGGACAATTATTTCCAGGAGTCAGTTCTCTCTCTTCACCATGTGGTTCTAGGAATCAAAGTCAGATTCCTCAGGCTTGGTGGCAAGTACCTTTATCCACTGAACTACATCTCACAGGCCCCTCACCTTATGCTTTATGAAGTACTCATGTGAGAGCTGGGGTGATGTCTGAGTGTACCCACTTGCTTGCCTAGCAAGAGAAAGGACATGAGTTTAGAATTCTAGCACCCATATGAAACCCAAGTGAGGTAGCACATGCTTATAAACCCAATCAATGAATTGCAGGCTCAGGAAGAGACTCTGTTCCCCAAAATAGGGTGGAGAGCAATTCAGAAAGATTCCCAATGTCCATTTCTGACCTCCACATGCATATGCATGTATGTGCATGAACACTCTCACACACATGTATCCCTCCACTACACACACACACACACACACACACACACACACTCACACACTCACATGCACTACACATACATATGGTAGAGAGAGAGAGAGAGAGAGAGAGAGAGAGAGAGAGAGAGATTGTTTCTAACTTAGGTATTACTCAAACTGGCCAGAGTGAATTTCTTGTACTGAAGATGGATGAATGCTCTCTAATATGCCTTTTTTGCTCCCTGTTCGTATTATCATTCCCCTTTCCAACTTACATACTCTTTGCACACCCCAGGATTTTGCTCTGTGTGCTCTGGCCAGCTGCCTCCGTTCTTTCCCACTGCAGCAATTGCAAGCTTGTTTCATTATACTTCATTTGGCAGAAAGAATTGTTTCTTGATTAGTATCTGGGCTGAAAATGGTTTCTCAGTTGAGCAAAATTATCAAAGCTGTACTAGACTTGTTTATAATGGCCTGCTATTTCCTCAGCACTTCTAAGGGAAGTTGCAGAGGCCTTTGCTCACTAATAAGTAGATTTGTTATGGTGTGGCACCATGTGACCTACACCATCTGGATAAAACTTATTGGACCAGGGAGGTGCATCTACCCCAAGGTCATGTTCTAGCTATGGCTTGCATAGTCTACACACACACAAAAAAATTTGGGAAAACAGCCAATCAGATCCACCTCTTTGGAATTTAGAATTTGGAAACAGATCTGCCTAAAGCAGTTAACCTTAGGGATATGTATCAAAAGTGTGCATGAAAAGTTACCATTGTGTAGAGGGGCTAAAATAATCCTTTGGAGACATGCATGCAGGAGCAGGAAAGAATCCTTGGAAAAGAGGGAGACAAGTGAAGTAGCTGGTAGAAAACAGGCAGAAACATATGAAAACATGCTGTCTACAGAGCAGTTAGGGAGGCTGACTTCTGGTCCATCTCCCAGTT